TCGCGTTAGTGGACATAACGGATGCTATTGCGCTGTTGCCGGTATTATGGTTGTGAGTTTTTTTTAAAGGAGTTGATTTTTTTTTGTAAAAGGAGCTGATTTTTTTTAAAGATTTAGAATAGCGGCCTGCAATTTGCTGCTACCCGTTAAATTGCAGCCACGATCCACCGCTATTGGTGTCATTCCGCTTCACACCACTATTTTCCGCAATAGCGGTTTTGGCCGCTATTCCGCTACCCAGCCGCTATTTAAATCCCTGATGAAAGCCTAAAGAATTGTACTAGCTCAAGCATATTATTATTTTCAATCTATGTTACTCGGACTCAGCTGTGAGTGTCAGATATAGGTATGTCGTATGCTCAATTTTAGTTAAGTTTTTCCAAGTAGTTGGATGATGCTAGAGGGTCAAATCCTATACCTATGTTTGGATATGCATCGGATATGAGTGTTTAAAGAAAAATGAATAGGGGGAGTAACATTATTTTCTGTGATAGAAGGGTATAGAAGCACGAATCTTGTTTGTGTCCTTTTCGTCTATCTGTTGTTATAATGAGATCAATAATGAAACCTGCATTTGGCTTCTGTTGGTTTGGTAGTGCTACATGTTTTTGGTTCAGTTTTCAGAAGTTATCATATTAAGTTTGTTTTTCTGTGTCATGGTAGAAAAGCTGAAGGTTAATTCTACACCGGATGCTAAGAAGGAGGCTAACAAGGATGGAGGGTCAGATCACATTGCAGCACACACATTTACCTTCCGTGAATTGGCGGCTGCAACAAAGAATTTCCGGGCAGATTACCTTTTAGGCGAAGGAGGCTTTGGCCGGGTGTATAAAGGGCGATTGGAAAGCACTAATAAAGTATGTGTATTAATGAGACTGTAAATTTTGTAGGAAATACAAATACGTGAAATCCATATGACATAGTACTACTCTCCAATGATCTCACACACCTTTAGTTGATGATAGAATCGTAGAAATAATTTTTTTAAAGGTAAAAAGAATCGTAGAAATCATAATTTTCATTGTTTTGTTCTGCCCATCTATGTTGAGCTAAAAGTATTATTAGGCCAGCTTGTGAAGTTTCATTCTTCATGAATATTTTTTTTTTGGTTTCAGAAATATATAACCCTTAACCATTCATAACTTCTAGTCACCCTTAACTTTGTCACCCTTGTTGTGTAGGTTGTGGCAATCAAGCAGCTTGATCGTAATGGACTGCAAGGAAACCGGGAATTTCTTGTTGAAGTATTGATGTTGAGCCTGCTTCACCATCCTAATCTTGTCAACTTAATCGGATATTGTGCTGATGGAGATCAGAGGCTTTTGGTTTATGAGTACATGCCATTAGGATCTTTGGAAGATCATTTACATGGTATGTATAGCAAACGCTCATATCTATTCTATTGTTCGGAATCTTGGTTTCTTTCACAACATTGAATATCATATGTCAGTTATCATAGTTAATACTAATTTCTTGCGTTTTGAGTTTCTGGTGTTTGATTTGTGTCTCTTCTGCTTAGTCCATTCTAGCAATTGTTTTAATTACCTCAGCATATATCATCTTTTAACATGGATTGCCCATTATTTTTCTCGTGTTCTTTTATCTTCCAGATTTACCTCCCGACAAAAGGCAATTAGATTGGAATACGAGAATGAAAATAGCTGCAGGTGCTGCAAAAGGTTTGGAGTATTTACATGACAAAGCCAGTCCTCCTGTCATATATCGTGATTTGAAATGCTCAAATATTTTGCTTGGGGAGGGCTATCATCCCAAGCTATCGGATTTTGGCTTGGCCAAATTGGGTCCTGTCGGCGATAAGACTCATGTATCTACGAGAGTGATGGGAACGTATGGATATTGCGCACCAGAATATGCAATGACTGGTCAGCTCACGTTGAAATCGGATGTTTATAGTTTTGGGGTTGTTCTGCTTGAAATCATTACCGGAAGGAAAGCTATTGACAACTCAAGGGCTGGTGGTGAGCAAAATCTGGTTGCCTGGGTAAGATAGCTATGGCATCTCCTTTTTATCATATTGCTGAGAGTTTGAAGTCGCGTTTTATTGCCTTGGCTTATTTTTGTGCATGGACATATTGTAATAGAATCTTGATTCCCTACCAAAACTCTTATCCGTTCAATTGTTTTGAAATCTGAACTGTGAGAATCTACGATACTTGGACACGGGTATGAGTGAAGGATATGAGTATATTCATTTTAAGTTTTCATTGATTTGGAGGGTCATTTCCCCATAGCACGCATATGCATCTGACATGAGCGTTGGATACAAATACTTAAAGAAAAACGAAGAGTTGGAACAGCATAAGAGAGAATTATTATTTGGTCATCGAGGCTGAATCCTTCCGATGAAGAAAGTAAAACTAGAAGAACAATAATTCTTGCAAATCTTTTAGTTTTTTCTCCCATATGTTCTGTAATTGCATAAACCATTCATTTTTATTTGACAGGCTCGTCCGTTGTTTAAAGATCGAAGGAAATTTGCACAAATGGCCGACCCATTACTTCAGGGACAATATCCGGTGAGGGGTTTGTACCAAGCTCTAGCTGTGGCTGCAATGTGTGTTCAAGAGCAGCCAAATATGCGGCCACTGATAGCTGATGTAGTAACTGCCCTCACTTATCTAGCTTCTCAAAAGTATGATCCCAGAACTCATTCGGTTCAAGGTTCTCGTACCGGTTCTTCCACTCCGAGAATGAGACAGGAATAGTTCAGGTAAGGGGAATCAACCATTTACTCATATGAGAAGAAAAAATGAATTCCTTGGAAGCTGATGATTGAGATTAAGAAACAACAGGTTTTTATGTGTTTGAGAGTGTATGATTCTTCGGCGTGGAGTTCGTTGCCAAGGCGTCATCAGATGTGGAATTTCGCGAATTCAGATTGCCCCTCCGGTTTCAGGCCTCACCCTGTCTAATGTAACAGCAGTTTTTTTCCTTTTTTTTAAGGGGTTGGAAACCTTTTGGCCTCTCATTGTCTTTCCTTTTGTCCAAAAATTTGTTCTTTGATGTACCATTGAGGTCTTGAGCTTTGTATCTAAAATGTCTTTGATATACAAACTGCTGTTCCCTTGAAAGATAATACATATCTGCTTGTCCATATTGTTTTGGTTTAATTCTAAAAAGAACCTTCAATATTTTATCTTGCGTTTCTTGGGAAATTCTATCGTCCTGCACTCTTAATATAAGGCTAAGGTAAGGCGTTATCGGTTTCGTTATTATTTTTTTAATAAAATCGGTAAAAAAATTATCTAAAACATTATTATTTCTACCTAAAACATTAATATTTTTTAAAATTTTCGGTAAAGTGTCTAATAATAACAAAATCAGTAGAAAGAATAATAAAATCGGTAAAGTGCCCAATAATAACAAAATCGGTAGAAATAATAATGTTTTTGGTAATTTTTTATCGGTTTTGTTAAAAAAAATAATAACAAAATTGATACTACCTTATATTAAGGGTGTCGCACGTGAAACTTTCTCCCTTCTCTTCTAAAAGAAAAGTTTAAGATTTATTTTTCTCTTAGATTCTAAATTCTTTTAATATATATAAAAATATAAAGAGAGTTAGGATCTTATTTTCTTTCGTAAACATTTTCACATGCTGTTAGTTTCAAACATTCATTAAATTAAAAATATATGTATGATCCAACTTATACTGTCGGTCTGTTCGATGGCATAAATCAATATTAAGCCTCACGATTGAAGCGTTCGATGTCATATCAACCAATTTACTCTTGTTTGATTTGTATTTAAATACTCATTCCCATGGTTATAGGGGGTGTTATTTTTTCTATAGCTTGCGTATTCGAGCAGTTATCATCTTCCTCTATGCTCCCTTTGGGAATCTAACATCTTCGGTAGCAGCTAACAGCTTCCCTCAACCAGTTTCTGGCTCATCTTTATTTAGGCTTTCTTCTTTACTGGAATGCTGATTAAATCTTCAATAGCTCGGTGCATGGTGTGGTTTTAGTCCATATCTGGATTTGATGAACTCTTTTCTGTGGTTCAGACTGTAACTCGTCTTTTTTTGTATGATTCTGAGATAGACTTATCTGAACGAGACTTGTTTTGGCATAAATGATGTCCCTCGTGCATTTCATTGCTCCCATCCTCCGCAGCTTCAGCTTGTGAGATTTCCTTTCCTTTCCTTCCTCTGGATCGCAAGGAAATTGAGCGGACTTTACTTATCCTTTTTCTTTTTTCGGTTTTTCTTCAGCAGCCAACTTAAGTCCTTAGCAACCGGCCACCGCATCGCTCAATTACTAAACAAAACACTCATAGACATCAATAAAGTCTTGATCATGAAAAAATATAACTACAAAAATTTAAAATAAAGGGACAGAAAACGAAAATTCAATCAAAATGGAGCTCCAATTTACAATAGAAAACAGAACGTGTTCATGTTTTTCCACTCAAATACTTCCGATTATCAAGTCAAAATCGAAGTCGAAAACAAATTTAAAAATAGCTGAAAATAACGAGGGAAGAGATGGAAATGTTGACGATGAGAGAGAAAGGGAGACGTGGCGAGAAGGAAGTACCTCTTGGGGTCCAAGTTTATAAGGGGGTTCACGGAATTGGGGGTTGATGAAATGGCAGTGGGGGCCGGAGGATCTCATTTGGCGCCTGCTGAAGTGGAAGTGTTGATTGATTAGTGAGATAGTGAGGATGCCGGTAGTGGTGACGAGAGGAGTTTCCGGGGAGAAGAGTTTTCTGTTTGCACAACTTCCTTCAACGGGAAAAACAAAGAAAGGAGATAATAGAGCGAGATTGATGTTTGTATTTTTGTACTTTTTAGTGTATGAATTTGATATTCTTTAATATGGTCTCTAAATTGTGCTTTACCTTTTGAAATTTTAGTGACTAAAATAAAAATGAAATCAAAATTCAATGACCATGGATTCGTTTGCCCTTTCAAGACATCCTAGATCATCCTAGATCATTCATTGGGTCTTTTCTCCTTGTCTCTTGCTTCCACTTTACTCTCTCAAAAACGAATCACCCAGCAGAATCATCTCAACTCTAAACTGCCTTTTCAACTAAACTCATCGCTGTTTCTCAATCCATTGCCGTCCGTCCATCTGTTTACGCCCTTGCGCCGCCCTTCTGTACGTGACTTCTCTTTTACATTACCCATCCTCTTTGCAATATTTTATTTACAATCTCCCTAATTCACATACATGTAAGCTTTTTTTATTGATTTTTTTAATATTGTTTAGTTACATTCTTTTAAATTTTGCAGTGATGTTCAGTGGGCTTAGGAGTGAGACCATAATTATTAGTTTGTGTTCATCTTACCCATCACTTTGAAGCGTTATTTAATTAGTTAAAGTGAAGCAATTGGGACATAATAGTTCTTTTACGTTGATGTTCTTTTAGATGGCTATAAAAGTTGTTGTTCTTTTACTTATCTTCATCTTTTCCATTTTACTTCTTCAACTGCTTCCTTACAAAAAGGAGAAAAAGTTCATGGAGATGGATCCAAGGTTGAGGGAAGCAGCTGAAACAGGAAACATTGATGCCTTGCACGTTCTAATTGGAGATGATCCGTACATCTTGGAACGCATCGACCAAGTTCCTTTCATCCAGACTCCACTTCATATAGCAGCAGACAAAGGGCACGTTAGTTTTGCAATGGAGATGATGAACTTGAAGCCTTCGTTTGCCAAGAAGCTGAACCCAAATGGGTTTAGTCCCATGCACATGGCGCTGAGAACTGAGCAGACTAAGCTAGTGCTTCGACTGTTGAAGACAGATAAAGATCTGGTTCGCGTCAAGGGATGGGAGGGGATGACTCCTTTCCATTATGTAGTTACAACGGGGAACTCTAGGCTTTTGGTCAACTTTCTTGAAGCTTGCCCCGAATGCATCGAAGATGTGACGGTTCGAGACGAGACTGCGTTGCATCTTGCTTTGAAACAAGACCAGATCGAAGCTTTTAGCCTCCTAATTGGATGGCTTCAAAGGACCCGTCAAACTCACGGTAGTGTCTTCTCCTTTGAGAAAAAAATGGCGAATTGGAAAGACGACCAAGACAACACTCTGTTGCACATTGCGGCTAAAAAGAATCAACATGAGGTATGTGCAATTCTATTCCAAAAATCCCTTTTGATAAATTATTATTGGATGTTCTGTTTTCCATTAATGATGCATGCAGGCACTAAAACTGTTGTTAGATTCCCAACTTTGGTTACACGTTAAAGCTAAGGATTCGGAAGGTTTGACGGCTCTAGAAATCATAAAAGATGCTAACAGACGAAACGTGAACATCAGCATGAGTGACGAAGTCGACACCAAGATTAAGCGGTTGAAAGATAAAGTTACTTTCGAAAGAATAAGAGTGATGGGAGATCGTACGAGGCTCAGCATGTCCGTGGACATGATCAACACCATGCTGGTGATTATGGCGCTGGTTATAACAGCAATCTACCAATCGTCGTTAAGTCCACCGGGTAGTGTTTGGCAAGACAATGACACCGACACCTCCCCGCCCCCCTCTCATCACATGTCCAATAAAAACATTTTTAGTACATCTATATCCATCTTTGGTAATAGTTCGGGAAAAGCAGGTAAAACAATCATGAATCCGCATATGTATGGGTTGTTTTGGTTCTTGAACCTTGCAACCTTCGGGCTCGCGGATCTTGTAACCGTGTTCCTCCTCTCCAGTTTTCATCTTTTCCTGCTCCTTGCCGTCCCGCTTTATATATTGGTCATCTGCTACTTCTGCTCAATGGCGATATTGGCGCCGACCCTTGCTTGGGCATACGTGAACCTTTTCTTCGTACTTCTTTTTGGATTCTTCCCATTCTTGTTGCTCTTCGCGTTGCTTATCTTAAGCAAATCAATTCGCCAGACCATAGCCGAGATCAGGTACCGAACCCGGATGCGCAAAGCTCTTGGCATGAACTTTCGAGGACCCTGGACGTTCATGTTTTATTCGCAATACATACTTGATGGCATCTTTAGTATCTGGATGCCTTCAGCTTAGCTCTTCAGTCATTATGGTGTGAATTGATCATGTACTGCTTTGTTTGATTTTGTATATTAGGCATCTTCAATCTTCTACTCCAATGTTCATTAATAAACTTTTAATTCATGTATTACAATATGATGAATTACATCTAACCTTGGTGTTTTATGTATGTAATTTGTTAAAAAATTTAATTTAATAGACTTTAAATGACTTGTTTATTTATATAAAATTTAATAATATGATTCACTAATTATATATAAATGTATACACTATTAAATAATTAAATACAAACATATAAATAAAACTAAACATCCTACTAATTATAATAGAGTTATATTTAATGCGTAATATTAATTTATATATTAAAATAGCACTCAAAGTAGCAAATAGTTCACGTGCATTATTTCAATTCATACACGACCAGTGATGTCACCTTCATTGTTTAAAACACCCTCCCTCTTTCTATTTCTTCGCACTTATTCTCGATGAGAGAAGAGTCAGAATTAAATCTTACATAGTCGAAATTGTAATTATTTTAAAATAATATAAATAATTATTAGGTATTTAAACTCAAAATTCAGCATGACTAAGCGACCTTAGTGATTAAGGGATTGTTGTTGTCCTTGATGTTTCGAGTTCGAGCACTGCACATGTATGAGTATGAGCTTTCATTGTTAAACAATTGAGTCTTTGTATAGATATTACCTTGTATTTACCCTAGATTTAAAAAAAACTCAAAATTCCAACATAACACCTAATTTATCTAATATTTAAACTTACAATGACCTAAATTGTTATTAAACCAAAAATTTTGAGAACACGAGGTTATTATTCTTTAGTTCGGTCATTACTTGATTAAATATTTAACAAATTCTTATATTTTTTAGTTTAAATATTTATTTTTACATCAATCAAAATACTATTAAATCAAAATTATATCGAATATACAAATTTTAATAGGGATCGGGGCCCTTTGGGCCCTCACTAAGCTCTGCACCTGACGGTGAGTGATGGATTAAGTTGAAATTTTTTGAATTATTCAAATTGATTAATCATATTTTATAACTCAAATTTTATTTAAATTTTTTAAGTTGAGTAGAGTTATTCGAGTTTTTATTTAAATTTAATTGTAAATATTTATAATATTATGGTACCATTTGATTATAATTTAAACGATTTTCTATAATCATATACAATACATATATATTTATTCATATTTTTTCTCATATGTGATATACACATATAATACAAAACCGAAGTACTCAACTTAAAATTGAAAATCAATCTAATATTTACTAAAAATTTCGAGTTACTCAAGTTTTATTTTATAACTCAACTTGTATCTGAATTATTTTAGTCGAATTTATAAAATTACAACTCGAAATTAACTCGAGTCGAGTCGAGTCAAGTTGAAAAGATCAACTTTTTAAATCTAATCAAATTGAAAAGATGGATTTTTGAAGTCGAATTTTATCTACCATACTCAATACACGTATGCTGTAATATTTTTAGAAACCAGCTGCACGCTATCATCATATCGTTTTCCTCTGCATCACTGGTTTTTTGGTTATTAAATTGCGATTGTAATGCAATATAGTGGTTGTATTATAATGAATTATTAAGGTTATTTTATTTCTGTAAATGTACATGTAATTCAAAAATATTATAAATTCTAAAAACAAATTAGATAATAAGATTTATAAATACTTTATTATATCGTAACTATATTTGTAATAAATATACTATTGGATCAACCATATCATCGCATATAGAAGTACTCAACTTGATTACAAGTTAAATTTAGAAAAGAACCTAAATTATACGACAATCCTTGCCTGTTGAAGACAATCCTAGCTTGCAGAAGACATCACCTTTTAAAAAAGATTTTTTATAAATATTTTTATAATTATAAGAGTCAATTATGAGTTTTCATTATTTAAAAAATAATTCTTTTATTTTTAAAATTATTGTTTAGAAATATTAGCATTTCAGTGTCCCAAATAATTATTTTAGCACAGTTTAATGATTATTTATGAACTTGTTTTTGGTGCCAACTTCATTTTTGAGCTTTAATTTGAATTATTCGATTCTTTTCGTGTTTGGTTATGAATTTACTCAATTTGGATTTTTATTTAATTATTTTTCAATTCTAATGAATGATCACCTTTTTTTTATGTTTATTCTCTGTTTATGGCTAGAATGAGTTTGAGTTATTCCTCAGTTTTTGAGCATCAAAACTCCAATAGATTTTAAGAGGGGGGAAATTCCTTTTCTGGGTCTCTAAATTTGAGTTCTAGCTCGTTATTTTGAGTCTAAAGAGTGATCAAAGGTTGCTTAGCACAAGGAAGGTATGTGAATTCTTCGTCTTTATGTTATTTTCAGCGTGGGGTGTGCCTTATAGTTTAAGGTTTTGCAAGGAAATTATGGTAAAAAGTTTGCAAATTTTCTTGATCAGACAATTGATTTGTTTTATTTGGAGGTTGATGTTATGTGATTCCTTGTACAATTTACGTTGTTTTCTGTCTTAAAGTTTGCTTTTTATTCAAAGTTTTTCCAGGAAAGTTGCAGGTTTTCTTGCAAGTATTCATCTTGCTGGTTTTCTTCGATGGTTTCAGGTCAAGAAGATAACATGGTTGAACACTATCTGCAGCAGCTAAGAAATGGTCGAGAGTTTTAGTGAAATGGATGCCTTAGCAGAGCTTGGTTTTATTCCTGGAATCTCGAAGGTTTACTGCTATATCGTCTGTTTTCTCTAGATAATAAGATTACCCTATTTGAATTATAGTATTGGACTTAATTTTGCTGCCATGATTGGCAGGAAGAGCGGGAACAGTTGGCTAGAAGTGAGAGATTAGCCATTAGAATTTCGAATATTGCAAACATGATTCTTTTTGCGGCTAAAGTTTACGCTTCCATCAGATGTGGCTCATTAGCTATAGTTGCGTCCACATTAGACTCCCTTCTCGATCTCTTGTCCTGCTTCATCCTCCGGTTCGCCGCATTCTTCATGTCAACATCGAACTCGTATCAATATCCAATCGGAAAGAAACGAATGCAGCCACTGGTCAGTATTCTTTCTGTTCTTGTCATACTCAATTTCTGATCATTATCGGTTATGTTACTCGGACTAAGAGACTATTCTATGATTAGGTTATCCTTGTTTTTGCCTCTGTCATGGCAACTCTTGGACTGCAGATAATCTTGGAGTCTGTTCGGAAAATGGTATCATATGTGAGTCAGCTTCAATTATGCATTAAAGTTCTCTTCTCCATTTGAAATGCGGTAAAATCTTTGTTTGTTTTGCCCAGGAGGATGAATTCCACCTGACAATTGAACAAGAGAGGTTTGTTGTTGGCATTATGCTCGGAGTGACCTTGGTAAAGCTTCTCCTCGTGTTTTACTGTCGTGCATTTCCCGACGAAATCGTTAAAGCTTATGCTAAGGGTCACTTCTTCGATGTTATCCCGAACATCATTGGCCTTGTTGCCGTGCTACTCGCTAAATACATTGATGACTGGATCGACCCTGTTGGGGCTATCATTGTAAGTAAAAACCATGTCTTACTTCAGATCATATTCAACTTAAAAAACATCAGTTTATGCTCATAATTGTAAGGCTGGATACTGCAGTTGGCTTTATACACAATCCGGACATGGTCCATGACAGTATTAGAGAATGTGAACTCACTGGTAGGAAAATCAGCAGCTCCAGAATATCTTCAGAAACTAACCTCTCTGTGTTGGAACCACCATAAGGCCATAAAAAACATCGATACGGTCCGAGCTTACTCCTTCGGGTCTCACTACTTCGTCGAAGTTGATATTGTACTCCCTGAAAACATGGCATTGCAAGAAGCTCATGACATCGGAGAATCCTTGCAAGAGAAACTGGAGTTACTGCCCAACATTGAGCGAGCTTTTGTTCATTTGGATTACGAGTTCAGTCACAAACCTGAACATGCACAGGCACATGCTCTGTAGGTGGCATCTAATACAGGATATAATTATATAGCCTCTATTTCAGGATATATTTTAGTTTAGTCATTCGACTATAAAACATTATGATATGTTTATTCGAAATATATACTAATTAGAAATTTTCAGGAAGACTACTGCTCCCACCTGCCCCTTCTATTCTTACATGCCTCTAAAGTACCTTCCAAACACTTAAAAAACATATAAAAGGGCGAATGTACCGTTTGCATACATACCTATATATGACCCTTCGTCCGAGTCCGAGTAATATAGTTGATATATATACCAGTTTTTCCCTCGATTTCTTGAATTATGTTAATTTATTTATCAGGCTATGAATATTGTCAGAGTTGGTTATCACTATTATTTCTGCTTACGGATTATCTAAAAGCACATGGTGCATGCCTCGTTGCAGATAGTTGAGTTTACTTGGCTGGGTTAGGGTCGTTTTTGTCTGATTTGGGTACCCACCGGAGACATGTACAGCTCTAAAGTGTGACGATGCCAATGGAATAGAATATAGAAATACAAGTGTACATATTAAAAAGCCTGTCAAGAGTTGGGTTGAGAAGAATCTGTGCTGGCTTTATGCATCAACGGCTAATAACTAAATAGATAACTTTTAACTTTCCATATAATTTTTTATTGGATGTTATAGATGCTTGCGTATTATAACTCAAATAAAGTCAATTTAAATAATGTTGAACGTTAACAATATAAAAGTACATGACTAAATTTCAATTATAAATGTAATAGAGGAATCAAAATTATAATTTACCCATTGTCTTGTAATAACCGAAGGAAGCTTGAATTAGGACAGACGTGTGGCAGAAGAAAAATCCTTAAAAGGGGATTCCTTTGGTGTGTTTTTAATTCGAGAAATGTTGAATTACTCCATTAATATTTTAAAATGTCATTCTCATGTTTGGTTTCCGAACATTACTACGACGGAGTAATATAATAGTACTTACCAATCATAAATATTTTTTTAATCAATTTAAAATGAATATAATATTATATGATCAAAATCAATAACAGAGTAAATATTATTTTAGAATATAGGTGTCTTCTTCCTTGTTGCCTACGTTTCAGGTCGATGGATGAATTGTACCACATCCAACTCTCATAAAAGAACCCTAATATTTTTATGCGATATCATTGAATGATAAAAAGAAATATAGTTTTTCCTTAAAGAAAATCAGGTAGAGTATTTAGGTTTAGAAAAATTTTGGAAAAAAAAATCTCCTGCACTCCTCCCCATTACTATAGCTTAACCCCAGTCCCAACAAGCACGTTCCTTTGGAGATCAGCCTCGTCCATATCTGTGGATAAATTAGCATTGCCGACTGTACCATCAGAGATGTTCATATCCATACTTTGACTTCGGATTCAACTCCATCGTGCTCTTTCAGTGTTTTTATGGCAGGGTCAGCCCCCGTTGAAATTGGGGAAGCCTGACGCTACAGAGAAGTATCAATCTCCGTTTCAAGAAGGAAGGCTCTTGATGGTGGAAAGGCATAAACCAAGAAAGCTAAAAGAGGGATCGGCGAAACTATATATAATTATTTTATACATTCATCATAAAATTTATATTGCCACTTGTAAAATTTAATGACTATATATATATTGTGTAAAGCAGAGGAAACAAGTGCAAATCGAAAGATGAGCTGTTCATTTAAGGTGGATGAAGCAGAATCCAAAGATGATGGAATTCCTTACAAAACAAAGCCTTCAAAATCTCATACTCTCTCACCAAATCCTCTCTTAAACCATACCAATCCACCAACTTCTTCAAGCCAGAAACAAGCAGAGCAGCCGCCGCCGCCTTCTTCAGCTCGGAACGTGAATCAACCAGAAAAAGATAAGCAAGCCATCAATGGAGTAATTCCTTCAAAGCATGATCATCAACGTAAACAGCCCCGTCCGATGGAGGACCCTCCTTCAAAAGATCGAAAGAACCATAACCAAAACCAGCCACCTCCACCTCCAGCTCCAGCTCGGACCGTGGAGCAACCAGAAAATGATAGACAACCCTTCGATGGAGTAACTCCTTCGAAACACGATCATCAACATAAACAGCACCGTTCGATGGAGGACACTCCTTCAAAAGATCGGCAGAACAAGAACCAGCCGCCGCCGCCTCCACCTCGGAAAGTGGATCAACCAGAAAAAGATAGACAATCTCCTTCAAAACACGATCATCAACGTAAACAGCAACGTCCGATTGAGGACTCTCCTTCAAAAGATAGAAAGAACCAGAACCAAAACCAGCCACCTCCACCTCCAGCTCGGACCGTGGAGCAACCAGAAAATGATAGACAACCCTTCGATGGAGTAACTCCTTCCAAACACGATGATCAACGTGAACAGCACCATTCGATTGAGGAGCCTCCTTCAAAAGATCGACAGAATCAGAACCAGCCGCCTCCTCCAGCTCGGAATGCGGAGCAACCAGAAAATGATAGACAACCTCCTACAAAACACAATCATCAATCTAAACAGTACCGTCCGATGGAGGACCCTCCTTTAAAAGATCTAAAGAACCAGAACCAAAACCAGCCACCCCCACCTCCAGCTCGGACCGTGGAGCAACCAGAAAACTATAGACAACCCTTCAATGGAGTAACTCCTCCAAAACACGATCATCTAACTAAACAGTACCTTCCGATGGAGGATCTTCCTTCAAAAGAACTGAAGAAGCAGAACCAGCCGCCGGCGCCGCCGCAGCAGCAGCATCAGGCTTATCCTCCAGACTACCTTATACAATCGGACGGACCGCCGGAGCTTCAGCCGCCTCCTTCTCTTGATCCGCCTAAGACTGATAAAGGTTGCTGTTCCGAGTGCTGCATCTTCTAATACACACAACCTCATTATTCAATCATCGTTAATTGTCTCTAAATGTATTGTTTTATTATTTATCAATTCTATTATTCGTAATTCCTTCTGCTTTGTTTAGTGTAAATAGTTTATATTTACATGGCGTCTTTTCATGCTTTGTTTTTATTGAATGAATGGAGAAAAAACTTTCATTAATAATTTCGGTGCTTAGATTATTTTTAGTATTCCCCAACAATTAAAATAAAGTTCGAAATTTATTTTTACATAAGTGACCTCCTACATATTTAAAATCCACTTCTGTTTCCACGAATCAAATGACATTAATAATTATTTTTTCAGGTATAGGATTCAAACACGACATATACAAAGATATATATATATATTTAATTTTGAATTGTTAAAAATCTTTAAAAATATATTATCTTATATTATCCTAGAATAATAAAAAAATCACTTCTGTTAAAAAATATAAAATAAAGATGGAAAACTTAGTTCATGCAACTATGTTAAACAATTCTATATATATATATATATGTTAAACAATTAAAAATGAATTAAATTATATTTTAATGAAAGTATTGACAAAAATATTTAATGTTTTGAAGTGGTAGTCCGCATTGTAGTTCATATGTGCTTCATGTAAACATTAAATAAATGACTCATATGCTACATCAATAAATAATTTTAAAATATAAAAAAATTCTAAAAAAAAGGTGCAAATTTTAATGGACTATGATGTGAGATTCGGTGTTGATAATGTTAAAATTTTAATGTTTCAGTCCATATTTTTATTTAAAAATAATGATTCAATATTTTTATAAGATTAAAGGTTAATTTTTATTAAAAAAATAAAAGTGAAAATTATCATTTATATTAAAATTTATTCCTATGTATATATATAAGCATCACTAGAATTCTAATAAAATTACATGGGACTTGAAGGAAACTATATGCTGAATTTGCATTGCATTATAGTATGCTGCGTTCTTTCTAAGCTGAGAATCGTCTGTTAATTTCTTCAAATTTTTAATATAATATATACATATAAACGTGTATATGAAGGAACATGCGATTTGTTTTAGTAAATTAAGTTTTATGAAGTTAGACGAAACGAATCTCAGTTCATCTTTAATTATTAAATATTATTTTGTTGATATTTAAACCCCAAATCTATCATGGAACTTATGAGCAACAGTGGAGACCAGAGCTTCCGGTTCCAGATGAAAGAGATGGACGATTCTACTCAAAGCTCTCCTTCACGTAATAATGCTTATAATCCACCTTCGGCGAAACCCCTTGCTGGAAGCGGCGGCGAGGATACTCCGCAAGGTGGCAATAGCTGCCACCGCAATCACCAGCAAATATCTCCGGTGACGGCTCTTCCCAAAAAAGATAATAGTGGTGACAATCAAAGCAGTCATAAAAACTCCCGCCACCACCACCACCAACAAAAACAAGCATCTCCTGCGGGGATTATTCCAGAAAACGACAATCTTCACAATCAAAGTAGTCATGAAAATTCCTACCATCATCATCACCAGCAGCAGCAGCAAGCATCTCCGGCGACTGTTCTTCCAGAAAACGAAAATCCTGATGATCAAAGCAGTCATAAAAACTCCCACCATCACCACCACCCCCAGCAGCAAACATCTCCGGTGACGGTTCTTCCAGGAAACAATAATACTAACAATCAAAGCAGTCATAAAAACTCCCACCACCACCACCATAACCAGTACCAGCACCATCAAAGCGTTCCATGGGGGCAGGATCCTCCTCCATCAGGATTTCATCAAGAAGATCAAAGTTCAATCCAAGAGAAGTCAGATGACTTGAATCCCCCGAACAACCCTAGGATCAGACTCACATCATATGATCCGCCGGTTAACAGCCATGGATGCAATCATGATAAGCAAACTGCGTCCAAAGCTCATGATCAGACGACGAACATTGTCCATAATAATGTAATAGTCGTCAATAGCCATCAACAAATTCCAAATCCTCAGCCGTCTCGGGAGAGACTTTCAATGCCTCCAGGGTACCCAAATAAGTCCGGACCTCCTAAGCTTCCTCCTAAGAAAGGAATATTCGACCGATGCTTAGAGGAAACATTCCCCTGTTGTTTTTAAAAGAAAAAGCGCCGCCCACATTATCAGTTGTTGTTCATTTCAGTTAAGTTGTGTGTCCAAAAAGAATGTTAGTTTTTTTTTTCCTTTAAAATTATCTCATTTAAGGGAGAAATTATTATATAAACCCTTTCATCATCTCACTTATGGTCCAATCCAATTATTGTATGTCACGTGATCAATTTTTTCCACGTCATATTTGAAAAGTCTTACTTTCCCTATTTGATTTTTTTCCCTTTTTTTAGACCGAACAAAGAGGAACTTAAATTCCGCCGTTAATGTTGGCAAGCAAAACGATATTCTTGCTTGATTTTGGATGATGAAACCAAAGGTTGAAGAAGTATGAAGCTTGTTCAATGATTCATTAATCCCTTTTCTTCCCAAGTGAAGAAAAAGTTTTTCCCTTTTCATAATGAAGATTATAAAGTTTTTACTTTTATATATCAAATCTTGTTCTTCTTCTTCATCCAAGTTGGAAAGAAAATTAAGAGAAGAATTGAGGGTAACAAACGGAAAGTTTGAATCAGATTCCAACTTATCAAGTGATGAGAGGCTTTCAATCAGTGAAAATTAGGATTATTCGTTTACTAGACAAAGCTCCAACCAAATAAAAAGAAGCTGGATTCTAAATTCCTCTTTGTTCAACTTAAAAAAGGGAAAGGAAGACTTTTCAAATACTAGATGAAAAAATTTGGTTATGTGGCATAAAATAATTGGATGGACCATAAGTGAGATGGTAGAAAGAGTTCAAATGTTTTATTAGAAAAGTCAATTAATTATATTTTTTCTTTTACCATATTTGTCTTATTCTTTACACGTGTCAAAATGCACGTAAAAACATGTTTCAGGCTGTCTTAAAACAGAAATTATTGACGAAAATGTCTGTGCCATCATGCTTGACTGTTTAGATCCAATATGGATTAATTACAAGACACATCCTCAAACTATACATCAAAATCTAAAGTTGAGATATATATTATAATTTCTCTTTCCTCCTTCCTATTTGTTTAATGAAATCAAAGAATTCTTTGCGGATATTTTATTAGTAAAATATGCGTTTATTATTTACATTACTTAATCGAATATTTGAATGTATTTATACTATCTATTTTCCTTTATGTTTAGTTAAATAATAAAAAGAATGGTAAAGTACACAAGTGGTCCCTTGACTATAGTATACTATTTTATTGAGTCACTCGACTATTAAAAGTTACAAAATGGTCACTCAACTATACATTATGTTACAAACTTGTCATTCTCTATTAAAAAATTAATGGTCGTCTGAGCTAGACGTTAACATGCTGGCTGAGATATGATAGTGTTTGAGATAATGAGATCGGATTTTATCATTTCACAATCAGTAGATTAACGTCCAGCTCAGACTGCAGTCAATTTTTAATGAAAAAAGACGATTTTGGAACATAATGAATAGTTGGGTGACTATTTTATAACTTTTAATAATCAATGGAGTCAACAAAGTAACTTCCTATAGTAGGGGGACCATTTTTGTACTTTACCAAAGAAAAAACTATGTAATTGGGAAGAGATTTTTCGCCGATAGCTTCTATTTTTCTTCGTTCTACAGTAGGAATAAGAAGGTAGAATAAAAGTTTCCAAAATTAATAGTTGAAATTAATAGGGAGGGGAAGCAGTTTGACCATTTTCTTTTATATAATTACTTTCATCTTTTTCAAATTTAACTTATTTCAACTTGTTTGAGAAATTGTCACGTAAACATTTAAAACTGTTTAAAAATAAAGCAGAAATGTATAAAATAAGTTTATTTTCGTTCATAAAATTAAAAGGAAAATAGGTATTTACTGTGATTGCAAAACTAATAGGTTATTTATCCTTATACTTTAAAAATCTATGATTATATTTCTAAAGTAAATATTACCTACATATTCATATGTAAATTTAATCACTTGAAAAAGTTGCGGAATAAAAAAAAGAATATAAATTCAAAGTTGGAAACAGTTTCTTTTAAAACTTTGAATAAGAGGGGATACAATTTGCACGTGAAAAAACTATTTTTTTTCTTCTTGTTACAAAAAATACTATTGAATTTGCTGCTTTCTGTCCTTTCGATAGAGAATTATGTGTTGATTTGTCGTTGTCTCCTTCATGACATTGTGTGCGAGAAACACTAATACACTATTAACTCTTAGTAACATGGTCTTGTAAATTTTGGTGATCTTATGCCATAACAATAAAATAGGTCTTTTAAAATTAAAATATTAGATATATAAAGAAATTCAATAATATTTTAAAATTTATTATAACTATAGAAAACGTTAAATAGTGATAAAAAAATATCTTCATGTAATAATGTGGGCATTGGACTTGAAAATTCTTGGGCCAAACATCCTAAATACACATATATACAAAAGACTTAAAAAAATTTGGAGGCCCTTACAAAAATTGGGCCATGTGCGGTTGGGCAGCCCGCACAGTCCCAAAATCAGCCCTACTTAGTAATATAAGAATTGTCACATGATTTCAGTAATAAAAAGATGATATTGATTTTTTTAGAGTTTTGGGTTTAAACAGCGTTATTTGCAGAGCGGACGTGAATTGCCAATAAATTAAAAAGTTTACGAATAAATATTATCTTATAATTATTATAAATTATTAAAAAAAAGTATAGTTACGATTGAATATTAAAAATATAATTATGTTATGAACTTACTTATTGAGTAAGGTCCATAATCCATATACATTTCCTTTAATCCTTCATCTTTCATCTTTCATATTCATTATAATATGACTTTTGAAGTTTGATATAAGCATTAGAAATATTCTTTTTCTTTGTTATGTTTTCTATTTCTCTTGTCTTTATTGTATTTTTTTATAATTTTATAATGAATTATATTTAATAAAATATAAATTAAAACA